AATTGATGGAATTTCGTAAAATTTTATATTTGAATTCTGGTTGTTACCGAAACTAACTGGTGAGCATTTGAAGGAATTCGGGTAGCACAAAGCGAAACTCTATTATGAAACAAATTTACATTTTTCTAGGTATGTTAGCTACAAGCTTACTAACGTCCTAAAAATTGGAAAGACATTTAACAGACATATTTATAATATTCTGTAACACTTTCACTTAATTAGACAATACACATTGCGGTCGGTTATGTGCTGATCACATCAGATTTTTTTATTTGATCTATTATATTATTTTCGTATTCTATTAAATTTATTAAATTTATAATTTTAAAGTTTCCGGTTTGCACTTTAACCGGTATAAAAGAATAGGTATAATTTGGGATGTTGTATAATTAAGGGTAAAATTCTAACTTTTAATATGACTTTTGTAAATTATTCTTCCTGATTGATCCCGATTTGGGTTTTCATTTTTCTATTTATTCTAACATAAATTACCTCTCCTATACGATAATTACCGACCGTATTGTATATACAATAGGTAGGTCATGTGATGGCAACAAATTTTGCATATCGTGTTTTCGGTGGGATTGCACTTCTCCATAGTAGGGAAGTGTAAGTAAACTATTTTTAGCAACCCGTCGGTCTGTCGATCTGTCGGTCTGTCGGTCTGTCATTCTGTCGGTCTGTGTGTGCACGCGTGTATCTCAAGTTCGGCTGAACCGATTTTGATGAAATTTTATATGTAAGTTTGTTTCAACCACGGCACGGATCGATCAACTTTTGGTATATATCAGGCCTCGAGAACTGCACTTTTTAGCGGGCCTGTTTTACATTTTTGAACATTTTGAAGAAAGTATTCAACCGATTTACTTGAAATTTTATATATAAGCTCACCTCGACCGTCCGCAAAAATTCATATGTTTTGGAAGAAATCAGGCATCGGCAACTAGACGTTTACTACGGGCCAAATATACATTTTTGTGTATATAAAGAGAAATAATCAACCGATTTCATTGAAATTTAATATATGAACTCCTCGTATTAAAACAATGAACATATAAGTTTTTTGGAAAGATCAGGGCTCGAAAATTGATTTGCGGGCCGATTTTACGTTTTGCACCATATCTACGGAACGAATTGATCCAATTTCTTGAAATTTAATATTTGAGTTCTGGTTAACTGGCGAGCAATTCTGGGAATTCGGATAGCACCAAGCGAAACTCTACTAAGAACCAAATTTAAATTTTGCTAGGTATGTTAACTATAAGCTTACTAATGTCTTAAAAACTGGAAAGAAGTATTTAAAAGACATTTTTATAATATTTTAACCTTTACTTAACTAGACAATATACAATGCGGTCGGTTATGTGCTGACCACATCAGATTTTTTTTTATTGGTTGTTTTCTCTTATTATGATTAATTCTCTGTATATTTTCTAATTTAGCTTGTTCAAATAGTTCTGGGTCAGTGGTAACATTTCTACTATTCTACCTATTTCTATAGGTCTTTTATTTGTTGTTGAGTTTCTTGAACAATCATATTCGTAAGCAGCTTGTAAGTCTGTATAGTTTTTACATTTTCTTTCAGTTTTTAGACATCTGATAATTTCAGTTAACGTTAAATGAAATCTTTCTATTTGTCCATTTATTGTGTTTTTATTCGGTAGTATTCTAAAAATTTCTATTTCTAATATATCTTTAACCATAAATATTATTGAACTTAAATTTAAAAATTTTTCATTATGTATAACTATTATTTCATGAACGCGAAATGCAAAAAGTAAATCATGCAATAGTTGCCTAATGTCTTCAACTGATTTTGAATTTATAATTTTTATTTGTACATACATAGTTAGAGAATTAGAGAATGCTAAGTGCAGTTAATACTAGGTTATTTTCAGCTTTATAAACACCTAGATATATATAATATTTGACCTGGATATTCTGGTATAGGAGTCTTGTTTATTTCTGGATTGTTAGGATGTCTATCATATTTTTGTTCCTTAGAAATTGTACAATTTTTTATTATTTGTGTAATTTTTGGAGCAATTATGTTTTATTTTCCTTGGCATTATGGTGAGCTCTTTTATGCTCTCTAATTATTTCTTCTTTTTGTCTACTTGTTGTTGTGTATATCTAATTTTGTATTGTTGAAAATGTATAAGATATATTTCCTGAATTTTACCCATAATTTGTTCTGTGTATTCGTAATTAGGTTTCATAATTGAGTGCCTGTCGCAATATTCAAAAATTTAGACAGAAAACTTGCATTATATTATAATATATCAATTTAAGGAAATATTAATTTGAAACAAATTAAAAATAACAATGAAATAGAATTTTTTAAGTCAAACTAAAACATTGAAAACTATTAAATATTAATACTGCTAAATATTTCTGTAAAATTTCATGTAATTCAGAGACTGTAAAATTTATTTTTGTAAAACAAAGAATATAACTGCTGGAGCTCAGGAGACCTTCTACCTTTCTAAACTCTGTACCTTACTAACACTTAAGATTTGGTAACTAGTTCCTAAAAAAAATATTCAATATTTATACCCTAAACGACGGTATGTCATTGATTACTGAATTACCCTATATATAAAAATGAAACCAAGTTTCACGCCTACGATGGATGATGTCGTTTGAATTCTGTTATATAATAGAGCTAATATATATATATATTTATATACATATATTGTTTTTTATTCCTGTTCAACTTGAAGTCTCCATTCTTCTCTGTTCATCGCTAGTTCTTCCAGTTCATCCCACGAGATTCCGTATCTATTTAGTTCTTACAGCACTGTTCTAGCCATGAGTCTAGATACTTGCGAGCTGTTCCATATGGGACGGTGTCTGCCGAAGGCTGTTCTAGCTTTATATAGCCTATTCTGTGCACTTTCACTAGTATATCCTTTTGGCGTGATGATACTTCGTAGATAACAGAAGTTGGTTTTGCATTCAATCTCGCTTGATTGGATTTTCATATACAAGTGTATGTACATTGCTTTGGTTTTGTTGGTATTAATTTTTAGGCTAATACTTCGGGATGGCAGCTGCAGGTGATTCAATTTGGACTACTCATCTTCCTGATTGCTAGATATTAGACATATGTCGTGTGCGAAGTCAAGACCCTCCAGTTTTTTGTCATCCGACCAATAGATACCTCTTTCAATACTGCTTACTTCCCTCAAGACATCATCTAATACCATGGTGAATAGTAGCGGTGAAAGCGGACATCCTTGTTAAACACCAGCGTTTGTTGTGTTTGTCAGTATTTTATAAGTTGTGTTGAATATTGGATGCATCTCCAATTGTTGTAGTCAGATTGGTCGTCTTTCTTGGGAATTTTGACTATAACGCGTTTCTTCTATGCTAAAGAGATTTTTGCGCTTTCCCAAGCGTTTCTTATGTCAGGATAATGAGTTATCCAGCCTAAGGATTTCGCTTGGCAGCCCGTCGTGTTCGGCAGCTCTGTTGCTTTTCGGATTTTGTATAGTATTTTTGATTTCAAGAATTTCTGGGGTGAAGCTACATATGTTACAGTTGTGTCCTGTAGTTCTAAGTTAACTATTGTTTCTTGGTTAATACACCTCTGGGTCTATTTGTATGTTGCTGATCCCTTCGAATTGCTCTTTCCTTCTCTAGGTTTGCTCATTAAAACCTGTTATTAGATCCATAACTTTTAACTCGTCGATTGATGTTGCAGGTTTTGTTTGTGAGTTTATTGATGACGCTATACACATTTCTCATGTCGTATTAATTTGCTGTAGTTTCTATTTCGCGGGCTATTCTACTTAGGTTCTTCCTTTTGTCCGTCCTTGGAACTCTTTTAACAGACTTGTATGTGCTGAGGTTTTGCTCCATTATTGTGAATTATCCATATTTAGTTGATTCTTATTAGTTTGATTAGATTATTTTGATTATACATGTTTGATCAGAAATCCAAAGCTTATTCCTGTTGTTGTCCGGAATATTAGTAGCTGTTTGTATTAAGTTCCTGATCGTTACCTCTTATGGTTGTATGGTTTTTCTTTGCACGGCGTCATATATAGCTGTAGTGGCATTTGTTCTTACAACTGGGTCTCTGAGTTGTAGCAGGTTAATTCTTGCTGAGGGATGTTGTATGACATTATCAATGTCATTTCTTAGTTTGATCTGGAGGTCTGCAGTTACTAACTCATGATCACAATTAATGTTTGCACCTCTTCTATTGCGTACACCCATGACCGAGTTTCTCCATTTTTTGCTGATGCATATGTGATCGATTTGTTCCTTCACTCTGCCGCGTGGAGACAGCCACATGTTTTCTGTAAAGGAATATTGAGCCACCTATTACCAGGCGGTTGGTTTGACATATCTCTATTAGTCTATCACAGTTGTTATTTCTTGAACCTAGGCAGTGTTTGTGTATAAAGTCTTCTTGATTCGTGTTGTTGTTCCCTATCTGAGCGTTAAAGTCACCCATAAGTATAATGATGTCACCACTTCTCGTATTATTAAGCGTTCTGGTAAGCTGGCTATAGAATTCATCTTTATCTTCGATTTCTGAGTTTTCAGTTGGAACATAACACTGGATGACAAATACGTGTCTGATTTTGCTCCAAAATCTTGCCATGATACTTCCGTCTCAGACTGCTTCCCAAGAGACAAGCGACTGTTTTATATTTTTTGTGATTAGTATTACCCCGATTTCACTCCCGGTTTCTTTTCCAATGAATAGAATTATGTTGCATTGTCAGACCGTAGTTCTCCACATTTATTACATCTTAGCTCGCTGATGCCTAGAATACTTATTTTATACGTAACAGTCTGTTTTTCAAGTTGGGCTAGTCTGAAAGTTTCCCTTAATGTTCTTACGTTCCATTGTGCTATTCGAGATGATATACACCCTAACAGAAAAAGAACAGGCCTAATATATTTCTAGCCACAATATATACTATACCAAATGAGAAGTTATCTTTATTTAAAGAAATAATAGGAAATATTAAACATATTTTCAGCTCTTTGACACAATGCGAAAAGAGAAACCAAAGGAGTTAACTAAAGTTATACCAATAGCAGGAGATATAACATCTGAACAACTTGGAATTTCTGAAAGTGATCAGGTAAATAAAACAAATGATGTATGCCTTTATGCTGTGTATGTAAAAAAAATAATATTTAACAAAAAAAAATATTTTTATACGTTTACAACTAATTTAAAATATTATCCGAACAAATTTCGATTGGATCATTTTAAAATTTATTGTATTTCAATTTGAAATATAAATTTGGGTTCTTTTATAATTCAGTTAACTAGTAGGAAACACAAAATCAAATCTCATAACAAAAGAAAGAAAGGCGAAATTGTAGCGGGCTCAAACTTTTATATACGTATTACCTAAAAACGTAAACGAAGGGTTCCTAACATATTAAGAGTTCCTAACGTAGTGACTTTTTGGCTTGCTAAGGGACGATGGTCATAAGGTACGCCATTACGTAAACACTTTGTTGAGTAATTGATACATTATCTACAGTAAAGTATCGCCACAATAATCACAAGAGTTAATTCTGAAACTGTCATTGATCACTTGATATCTGGCGTTAACCAATATACTTTTAATTTAGATATTGCTGACACTAGTCTTTCAGACCATCAACTATTTTCTGTTAGCCTTGACCTTAGGCAACGTAGTTCTGGTCTATAAAAATTTAGGGGAATCGAATACGTTTGCCCTTGTATCTATAACTAGTTTTAAGTTTCTTGTAGGGGAATTGAGTGGTATGATCGAAAGAAATACGAAGAAAATTTCAATTAAAATTGTTAAGAAACATGAGTGGATTATTGAACAAATTTTAAAAAAAATTAAGATTCCTACCTTAGGTGCAAAAGACAAAATCCGGAGAAAAATGTACTGTTCGAAAAATTAAGTTAGCAGACTAATCTGTGAGACATATAAAAGAGTTATTTATAACAAAGAAGCGGAAGAAGCTTGTAGTATTAAATCATTACAGTTAAATAACAGGCGCAAGAAGGTGAAGTAGCAGAATGTTTTAAGGAGGTTTTTGTAGGCGTTACGAGAAATATAGACCTTTCGACTGATCCCATTGATCACACGTACATGAATCGCTTCACGCCTACCTTTTATTCAGATTTTGAACTGAGTCATGCGGGTGCGGACGAGATTAAGGACTTTATTTTTTCGCTGAATTCCGCTGCAGCCACTTGTATGATAAAATTTCCGAAAAATGGTTTAAGCAGTTTTGTGATCCATTGAGTCCAATATTGGCAAAGCATGCTGTATTGTTACCGAGTGAGTGGTTATTCAACCAGCGATATATAAGCGTAATGATTTATGAAGAAACGAATTAAACATGATAGCCTTCAAAATTGCGAGCAGTCTTATAAAGCATAATTTTATATTACATAGAGTGTTAGATTTTCATACTTTTAACACACGTAATAAAACTAACTATTAACTTAGTTTATTTAGAACGAATAGCCAGAAAATTTGCTGCCTCTGTCATTCCTTGAAAACTTTTAATGATCTGCCCTTGGCTTTGAAAAATATAGAAAGTACATCAAGTTTGAATAAATTTGGATCAAACCAATGCTTTGTATTGTAGTACTTTTCCGTTCAACAAGTGAAAATACTGCTTTTAAATACAGTCTATGTAGACCTATTAAAATTATTTTCATTCATAAACGAAACTATTTCTAGAATTGCACATATTTAGGATGAACGATTTATACAGCCTTTAAAATAAAGCAAAAATTATTTTAAAGAGGGCTTTCCATAATGCTCGATTTTAAGAGTTAATTGCGTGAGCTAAAAAAAATAATTATATTTTCTAATGCCGTGGATTTTACCGTTAGCTTTTTGCGTTTATAGAAATTGAAAAAGCTTGCGGTTTTTGAAATATAAGGTGTCAAAAACTCAAATTTTAAATTTTTCAAGAGGCAATAAGTTGAGAGGGAGTGGAGATGGAAAAACAATTTCTTATAATAACTAAATGAACTATTTGTTAATGTCTAAAAGCCCCTAATATTTCAAGCTTCTACAGGCTAGAAGAAAAACGACATCAAAAATTTGGAAAAAATGGATTTTAGATAACGGTAAATTTGAGCGGTCATTTTGTTTTTCTAAAGTTTAACTACAGTATACTGCGCTAGGTGAAACAAGCCACTGCCTTTCTGCGTTTGCAAAATTTGAAAGATGCTTATGGTTTAATTGCAAAAAATAGTTAAAAAAAGTAATTTTTAGGGTTTTGGCGGGGTATAACTTCTAGAGGGAAGAAAATAGGTAAAAATTTTGTTCTACGGAAATAAGTTTCTAGTAAAGATCTATGTAGGTGTTAAATTTCAGCTTTCTATCTTCAATGGTGTATAGGATTTGTAAACAGACACACGGACAGACGAACGGACGGCGTTTCAACCAATAGTTGTAAGATACCACAGCTTAAGCTTAGATCGTAATTGAAATTAATTTTAATTTTGTTCTAAGTTAAGTACAAAATTTGTAATAATAATATACACTTACATTTGAATTAATAAAAAAACGAGAAAAAATTGTCGTAATAGTAATAGAGTTGACCGTGTTAACTCTGTGATACCCGTACGAATTTGCTATCCTATGTGCGTATAAATATGCCATAGCTGACTATGGGACAGACTATGGCTTTAATTTGCCATATAAGCATGTTAATTTATGCAAAATTACAGTACTTTTCAATTTTTTCTAGGTGAAAAGAAATGTCAATGATTTTTATTACACATAACAGTCCTAATAATATCCTTGTTTTCACGAGATTTCTATATTATAGTTGCAATAAGCTCTGAGATAATTCCAAATAACTTTTGAAATTGTATGGCAACTACCAAAAAGAGAAAAGTAATTTCAATGGCTTTTATCAGACACATTGGCCCTACTATTATATTCGCTCGTGTGAAATTTCAATACTCTAGCTTTTATAGTTTCAAAGATATAGCCCAATAACTTTTGAAGTTGTAATGGCAGCTAGCAGAAGAAGCCTAGCAATTGCAATGACTTTTATCAGACACGTTTGCCCTACTAATGTATTCTTTTGTGTGAAATTTGAATACCACAGCTTTTATAGTTTCGGAGATATAGGTAAATAAATTTTGGAATTATATGGCAGCTACCCGAACCAGTACCCCGATCATGTCGAATTTAAATAGGGTAATAAATCATTTGTGAAAATTTGCTGAACTTAGCTCAATTAGTTTTTGGTTATCGCTGGGGCGGACAAACGGATGGAGAGACGGACGCTGATCAAAAGCAAACACTTGAGTCTACATCTCTGACCATTATTTCTTAGCGTTACAAACGGTAAGGCAAATTTAGTGTACCCTTCGAACATACGTACGGGTATAAAAAGGTTTACGATAAAATAAAAATATTCTGTAGGCAGAATACAAATTTTATTATAAATAATAAAATTTGTATTCTGCCTACAGATACAAAATATGTATGTATACTGAGAAAAATTTTATCCAAATTAAATATTTTTTTTATAAACAGAACAGACAAAAACTATATCTAAAATCACGACAATCACAGTTCATTGCTAAATTTCACGTAAATGAATAAAAGTTATTATAATTTTGAATTTAATCTAAAACAGTTTTAGCAATATACTGTTTTCAAATTAGTTATACTTTGGCGCTGCTTATGAAACTAAATTATTCGAAATATTTTTCGAAGAATTGAGAAATATATAAAGCATATTACAGATAAATTCTTTCTCGCTTGGTAATGTTTTAAAATACCAATAAACTTGTGTCCATCAAAACATTTTTTATTGAACTATATTTTATTTTCAAAACCAAAAAGGGGCTATTGCCAAAAGAGCTATTCATATACTTTTATTAAAATATTCATATACCAAAATTGGATTATCAACGAAGTTGCTTCATTATATTGAATGCGTTTTAGTTTTTCTTTATCCATTTTTAATAATTTTTAAATTTTAAATTAAGTCTTTACTAGAAACATGTTTCCGTAGAAGAAAATGTTTACCTCTCTCCTTCCCTCTAAAAGTTATACCACCCCAAAACGCTAAAAATGGCTTTTTTTAACTATTTGTTGCAATGAAACCATAAGCATTTTTCAAATTTTACAAACGCAGAAAGGCAATGGCTTGCTTCTGCTATCGTGGCATACTATAGCTAAACTTTAAAAAAACAAAATGGCCGTTCAAATTTATCGTTATCTAAAATCCATTTTTTCCAAATTTTTTATGTCGTTTTTCTTCTAAACCCCATGGTGTAGAAGCGTGAAGTTTTAGCAGCTTTTAGATACAAATTAATATCTCCTTCTAAGAAAATTTTTTTTTATCCAGTTTATTGCATTAGAAACCCCCTCTCAACTTATTGCCCCTTGAAATTTTTAAAATTTGAATTTTTGAAACTTTATGTTTCCGAAACCGCAAACTTTTTCAAATTTCTATGAACGCAGAAAGGTAACGAAATTCCGTCACATTAAAAACTATAATTATTTTTCTCAACTCACACAATTAATCCTTAAAATCCCGCATTATGTTAAGCCCTTTTTAAATTAATTTATTCTTTGAATTTCAAAGACTGCATAAATCGTTCATCCTAAATATATGCAATCCTAGAAATAGTTTCGTATATGAATGAACAATATTTTTAATATTGTTGTCAGATATACATAGACTGTATTTAAAAGCAGGATTTTCAATTTACAAACCATTGGTTTGACCCAACTTTATTTCCTTTTATATTTTATCTTATTTACCGTACTGAATGTTGAATTCGTTTTTGAAAACTTATGACAATTACAAATTTATTTATTATTATAAGAATTGAAAATAATTCTTATAAATATTCACATAATTTTAATTTTATTCAAAACTATGTGAACCTATCTATAGAAAAAACAAAAATATTGAATTAATTATTATATAAATTTATCGATTACTATATTAATTAATCCATAAGTCTTAAAACCAATTAAGTCTTAAACCAATTTATTAAGTATGAAATAGAGAGATATGATGTAAATATACCTTAAAGAATTAAATTATTGTATAAGTATGTGATAATATAAAAAATAAAGAAAAAAAATAGTTCTTAAAAATG